TGGTGGGAGTATATGTAATTGGGGAGGTACACCCAGGGGGCTCCTAAGATATAACATTCTATTTCTTAACCCAGGTGGTGGGTACATGGGTGTTTTACATATATATGTGTGTGTGTATGTAACAAATATATATAAACATAATTTATATATGTATAAATATACACATATATGTATTATGCGTATAATATATATGGATGTAGATGTATAAATATATATACATATATATATTTCTATTCAGATACTTCACAAAAAATGCACTAAAAAATATACAGCATATAAAGTATGTAACACATAAAACGGTAATATATATACACACAGTGAGATACATTGACTTAAATTACACACACACATCCAGAAACAAAGACAATGGTCGTGGAGCCACTCAGTGAAACACCCTGGCCTCCTAAAAGGACGCTGTGTTCAGATCTGCAGAATGCTTTTCTGATCTGTGTCCTGTGATGCAACACTCAGAAAAGCAAGCAAGCTAAATAACCCCAAAGTGACTACCTGTTTGACTTACTATCAGGAGAGTACCTGGATTAAATTCCTTAGATGCTAGACAAGAGATCACAAAGCTGAGAAAGTTCTAAAGAGTGTGAGTTTGTACTGATGCCTTACCGCCGCTGGTCTACAAACCCAGGCCCGTAAGCAGTTCTCTTAAAGCAGTGGTTTCAATCTTTGGGGACTGAAGCTGGTGGGGGACAAGGAGCCCCCAGCCTCTACTTTTACAGAGCCATTCTGATTTTATTCACTTTACGTATGCCTTTGATAGGATTTTGTTTGAAGGGTTCCACCTGTCAAGAGAGTTTGAACAGCATTGTCTTAGAGGAATGCTAGCTTTTTGGAGTTGGGAAAACAATGCAAATCACCTTTCTCAACTCTGTATAAACGTAAAAGCAGAGGGGACCAAAACGTACACCCAATAAGCAATGTGCACTGCAGCAAATCTTGAGATAGCTGGCTCTCTCTCCCCTCTCGTCCTTATCCCACTGCCTTGAGAAATACCCAATGGCCCTAGCAGAGTGATAGGAACAGGAGGCAGACTTGAAACCAATCTAAGCCAAGCTGGTGGGCAAAACGTCCCAATCCACGCAGCTTTATCACTTAGACTGCACGGATTCCCAACTAGGTGATTATTCGAGCCATCTCCGGCTACCCCTTTATCATGAGGGTTAGCACTCAACACTCAACATGTGAAGGAAGACGCATGTTTGTGGGCAGGTTATCAAAACTGGAAAGACAGGCCTTCATTCTGGTAACTAACAGGTAAAGAATCGGACTCCTCTAAAAGCTCGCGAGTTGGTGAATGGAGCATATCTCCAGCAGATGGCAAACGAACTTCTGCCAACCACAGCCAAAACCTCTTTATCCCACCCACTCTCCTGCCACACCTACCTAACTTGCCAGGCTTTTTCTGGAAAGGTCAAGCAGTCTGTCTGTCCAAGAACATAACGATTGGTTACTGTTCTCTTGTGCACCAGCCCTGAACAACTGGTGTGTAGGCTGGTCCTCTTAGGTGGATGCGGTATTTGATACTGCGCTAACTGGGTGGCTAGAAGAGAAAGGGAATACATCTTAAAATGGCTCTCTAGGATTTCTGCTACAGTTGTACCAAATCCACATCTTGCCTGAACGATTGTTAAAATTCTGTATTTGGTCACAGCCAAATACACTATTAAATCACTCTTAAAGAAACTGGCTGCTTGGGACACAAAAATGAATGTGCCCTCTAGCTAAAAAAAAAAAAAAAATTATTCAAACTGTCAGAATTTTCCAAAGTTTGACATTGGGCAGGAATGAAACCTTCTTAGCATCAGGTTGGTGGAAGAGCAAGTGGCCTTTTGCTGGCCCTACTACCCAATTGAATGTTGTGTCCTAACAGTAAGATAATGATTTGGGTTTTCCTCAGTTCCTAGACTTTAAACATTCTGGCTGATGTCGATTTAATTGTACACAACCCTCCATCTCAAGCTTTGTGCATTATAAGATGCATTCTGATGCTGACAAAAACTGAGGACTGATGGATGTGGGGGGGAGGGGGGATGGGCATGGAGGAGGGCACTTTGGGGATGAGCACTGAGTGTTATGTAGAAACTAATTTGACAATAAACTATTTGTAAAAAAAAAAAAAAATGCATTCTGAGTATTTTCAAAAGCACTTAAGATTTTTGCCATGCTAACTTCCAATAGTTTGCATGCCTCGTATTTAAAACTTCTTAAAACCTTTTGTTGGTTTAAAGAATATAGAGTTCCTCCTGAACTTAACTAGATAACATTTATTTTCCTACTTATTGCTTTCTTAGTTTTAACTTTTCGATCGCAAAAGTGTTCAAAATTAACTTAAGTGCTCATCTTATAACACTTATTTAGACTTCGAATAACTGACCAAAAACAGACGTAATCTGTACAACTGAAGAGCTTACCTGTATGTGAAATTATTCAGATAAGTGCAATAAATCCGAATGCCAGGTCAGTTCAAGCTACCGCAGGGATTGGCTGATCAAATCAACAGCTATCATCTCTGTGACCACCCAGTCGTCAATCACATGCTAATTCAGGGATGACAGGAATTCTAAGTCTTCATTCCACTGGTCTTGGGATGAGGTTGAAGGCATGGATAGCAGGTTTTCATTTTCATTCTTCATCTGAAGCTCACATACGTAATCCAGTAAAGATGAATGAAAATTGACTTTTTTGCCTATGCCTGGGTTGAGTTTTCCTAATTAAGTTCCTTTCTGCTGCCATTGATGTAAATCTTAGAAATACTCTTTGGTGTCTTATAGCTGCTTAGTGAGTGCTCCTTATACGTAAGCCAAGATGTAGGCACCGTTTGTAGGTTTCCTATCTTCACAATCCCATCAGTATTCTAGTTCTCTATCTTACAGGCTAGGAAACCAAAGTCTGGGGTTTCCGATTCTTCTCGTCTGGGCTGATGTGTACATCTGACTTGCAGAACTCAAAAAAGCAAATCATGATCCTTGCAGATTCCAGCTAACTGGTTTGCAAGGCTGAATGAGCTTTGGGCCTTTTTCTATGAGGTGGGAGAAATGGGCAGAGACCTTGAAACCTTTGAACCTTTTTCTAAAGAGCTCCAGCCCACCCTGCCTTAGTTTTGCCACCTATTCTTTTATCTGTACTTCCCAGAAGTTTCCTTTCAAAACCTCCCACCATGGTCCCACAGTGGGAAACTTATGTGATTTCTTCCCTTTCCTCAGTCTGAATGCGGGGTCTTCTCCATGGCTCAGGACTCCATCATTTCTCTCCAGTTCCCACATCCCGTGTTCCATTTATGCGTCTGTTACTTGAAAAGCACGCCACATCAGCCTCTGTGCTGTTCCCCGCAGCTAGACGCGGGCAAGCCTAGACAAGTAGGCACCAACCAGTGATTTCAAAAGATGGGTTTCAATTATATTATATAGACTATTTAGCTACATAAAGATAGCTATTACCTTTCGGAATGGTGTTATAATGGTGCCGTCATCTTGAGAGCAGGGATAGTTAGAAAAAAAAAAAAATCACACAGAAGCAGACTAGGATTTAAAATATTACACTAATAACTGCAACTTCATGTATCCTGCTTGCTTCTTCTGTATTTGCTGAAAATACCTATAGGGGTTTTATGTACAGTCAGTGCTCAAGTGCTTGAGCTTAGTATCAGGTCATTAGATATAGGTTGCTACTTAGAGCCCAGAGATAACTCAACCATGACACAACTGGGATTAATTATAAAGCAACAGAGAGTGAGGAATACTATTATGAGTCAAGCATTATTCTGAGTGTATCCTATCACTGCGTTCAAGATTCACCATGAAGCAGGGACTGCCCTGTTCTGTAAGAGACACTGTGGCTCAACATTTAAGTCAAAGCTAGAAGGAGAGCCAAACTTGGACGGAGTGTAACCACTGGATGATAAAGGCAGATGGGACTTCAGATGCACATGAAGGTTAAGTAAGAAAAGAGAAATGCAAGGACTGGGAATTATAAGGCAAGGCCTCAAGTTTTATCAGCACATGCTAGTTTCAAATTATGAGCCTCTCCTAAGATTTCATGTCCTAAAATGAACTTTGTTCTCTATTTACCTGGTGCTAGGTATTCTTTCTGAAAGAATTTTAAGCAAGCAACCACACGACACGTTCTATAACCCGAGCAGAGTAGATAACCCAATTTTATACCTTAGAATTCTGAAATCTTAGAAGTGGCACAATTTACAATGTCCAGGGCACAGATTAAAATAACACATGAAATGTGCCTTGGACATAACCAATTATTGCTCATCTTTCTTCCTAAAGAGATCTGGAAGAACAGGACAAGAAAGTTAAAAATAGTACAAGTTTGGATTTGTCGTAGAATGTGGAATAGAAAGGTGCAAGGGTTCTGGGGGTTCGACCCCCCTCACCAACAGAGGAGCATGGGTGGGAGGAGGAGGAGGAAGATGAGACGTGGTCAATGCCTCAGGACCAAAGCTTGTTAGTGGAGATAGGAGGCCGGGCCCCAGCAGCCCTGTGCTCTTCCCTCCACGTGCCGGCACTGGCTGAAACAGCTTCTTCCTCCAGTTCCCTGAGATGAACCGATTTTTGACAGAAGAGAGTGCTTTGCAAATGATGTGCTCTTCACCCGCTTTTAATGCACTTTAACAAATTAATATCCACTTGACACACTTGTGACACATGTAACATGACACAACACCGTGTTCCAAACGAACTAGGGAAGGGAGAAGACAGTAAAGTACTGGTAATGCAAACACTGGTGGTTGAACCTGAAAAAGCAAGCAGTTGTTCAGCTGAGCCCACACCAAGAGAAAACCATGGGTGCAGGGGACGTGGCAGTGCACCAAGCCCCGCCCCTCCCAAACAACAGGGCCGTGGGGCTCCATCTCATCACCCCACTTCGGAAACGCAGTTCCATCCAGGTTAGAACTCCACAAACATGAGCATCCACATTATAATCCCTCTTTGCAAAACAGACTCTTTGAAGGAAAACAAATCCAAATTGAAACTGTGTGGTTTCCAGAGCAATTTATTCATTAAAATCTATTCAATATGCCATCAACAGTTCTCCTGGGTGTATTGTGCTGATAAATAGACACTGAGAGAATTTAACAAGTTCGTCGTTTAATAAGTCTGAATTCATTTTCACCACATGGTATTGTACACGGTCATCTGTTGAAACAGATTTCTTTTTAACAGATCTTAGTTTAAAAAAGTCATAGATACTGTGAGTTCTGTATAAATTGGCAGATAGTAAGTTAGTTCCTTTGTTTTGACTTATAAGCCTCAACTTCACCGCAGAATAAAGAATGTGGGCCAAAGAAAGCATAATCGGTCACTCGTATAGAACAGTATTGTTTCTATAATTTGAAGCTTTCTGAATGGACGGGTTCAGGCCTGATGTAACTGTAAAAAGATTACTTAATGAATAGACTATATGGAAATTGTACAAAATGTTATTAACTTTAATTATTAATAGCTTAAACAGCACTATGTTACTAATTGCTATTCAAAACCAAAAACCTGTTTTTGAATCCCCAAGGTGGTGTGTGTACACAGCCACGCTGCCTTGTACGTAGGGGTGTGCCAGTACACATTTCAACAGAAACTTTGGCTTTAGGAAAGAGTCACAAACATTTAAAATAATGGCTTTAATCGTCATTTTGAGTATACGGTAGGAGAAAGTGTGCTTTAATTAAATATACATCATACCAGTGATGCTGGCAAGGTTGAGTTAATCCTAATGTTGACAGCTATAAAAACTAGTTTGTACATGACAAGACAATGAGAGAAAAAAGCAATCCCTTTGAAACAAAATTAAAAAAAATATGTTCACAGTGGTTTGTATCAACAGTATGCATTTTATGACAATAACATGTACAGACTGAGCACCCTAGGGCTCTCTTTATATCCTAAAGAAAACAAGCATTTACATTATTCGTGGGTTGAACTAATTTTAAAAAGATCAATTGTACACTTACCCCTCAGACAGGATAAACTGTTCTGGGGTGTACAGCTTTAACACCATCATTAAAGTTGTTTGCAAAAGGAAGAGACAATTAAAAAACAAAACATTTTTCCTTGGGAGTGGAGAGTCTTTCATTTGCTGTTATAACCAGCAAATGCCATTCATTAACTCAAAAAATGGAAGGGGGGGGGCCCCACAAACACACTATTTGAGCAAGCTGACCAATACACATTACAGTTTTAAAAATGAAGGTTATATACTATATGTTACAAGTCCCAACTAGGCAATGTCAAAATGACATCTATTTCTTTGCTTGCTTTGTGATCATACCCCTTGGAGGTGTGACAGGTCTCGTGGCATTTGGCTTCTTTTTCTCTGCAGGCTTTAAAATCTGCAAAGATTGAAAAGATGGTGCATTTTAGGAAATATTCTCCACCCAAAATCTTAAGATTTCTTAAATCTCACTCAAATCTTTGTTCAGAAACATTTTTGGCCATTTAAAACTGCCCCCGAAATGCTGAAAGCCCTACTAACATATTACTATAAACCAACATGATGTGAACATTTTGGTTAAAAATGCTATGATGAACACATTAAATGAATGGACAAATTATTTTTGTTTCTGGAGAAAATAACAATTTTCTGAAGTCAGACCTTATAAGTACCTTTAGGCTATCCCTTCTCACACAGAGGCAAAGTTCTTTAGAGCAATGTTTGAGTCTCACAATCTCTGGGGACTGCAAGTGCTCCGAGTTCATTGGTGAAATAATATTTTACTGCCACTGGACTTCGATGGCTTTACTTGTGTTTATGATGGGGCTGTGGCTAGCCTGAAGCTGTACAAGTTTAATCCTAATAAGCAAATGAGAAAAAGACTCGGGCAGACTTTACATGTAAATGCTTCTGTGACAAGTGAAGGCTAAATGATGTCACGGACGATCAACAGGTTTGTAGAAACGAGAGAAGAGTGGTGGGAGAAGGGAGTGATCTCACGGCACATCTGGCACGTGGCAGTTACTTCTATTCTCACATACATTACGCTGATGTTATGGTTTTAGATTTATAGTAAAGAAGACAGGAAATTGTTTTTACCCCATTTAAATAATGCAAAAACAGTTAAATTCAACACCACAGGAAAGGTTCTTGAACAATTGTTTTCCCTTTCAAAGGGGTCCAATTATTACTCAGTTACGACAAACACTGGTTACAGGAAAGTAAGTCTATTCAACATAAATGAACAGCAGGCAGAGCATAGCAACTTTTTAAAATCAGTAAAATTCAGACATAAGAGTAAGAAACAATTGTGAAAACATCCTGTACCTGAAAAGAACACATTAGAGTTTCGTCCACACTCATCATGGCACCTGCATTGTCAAACTCTCCACAATAATTGGGTGCAGAAAACAGAGTGACCAACTGCCTTTTTGCAAAAAATTCATATCCATCTTCAACCACCTTGGAGAGAAAATGTTTTCAGTGTAAGTAGGTGTAATCTACAGGTGAGTAAAACCACTTTTCAGTTTCTCATTGCGTCTGATATCCTCTAGGTCACTTGCAGAGACATTTTGTATGAATAAGCAATACCTACCCACTAAAATCAATGAGAATCTGTGCTCACACACATGCTGTTAAGTGTACATGTAAAATTCAAAATCAATACCTGATGGGCTCTACATATAAGATCCAAATCATGCTTATGGAGAAATTTTGCAACCACTTCTGCACCAAATGTGAAGGACACTCCTCTGTCATTTTCACCCCAGCCTAAGACATCTTTATCGGGGTCAGACCACAAAAGATCACAAAGAAGACCTTGATCTGGTACATCAGTTGGTCGCATAATTCGCCGAATCTGCTCCATAGATTGAAGATCTGGTGATAAACCTATTAAATGAGAAAAAAATGGAAGGAAATAGAACTTTAAAAAGGATGTTTGCACTTTACCAGTTCCATTTACTTACTCAGAGATGCAATGCTCTAACCTGGAAGGCTCAAATTAAATCTATGGTTAGGATTTTTCTTTCTTTTTTTTTTTTTTTAATGTATTATTTATTTCTAGGAGAGAGAGAGAGAGAGACAGCATGAGCAGGGGAGGGCCAGAGAGAGAGGGAGTCACAGACTGAAACAGGCTCCAGGCTCTGAGCCAGCAGTCAGCACAGAGCCCGACGCGGGGCTCGAACCCACGAACCGCGAGATCGTGACCTAAGCGAAAGTCGGACGCTCAACCGACTAAGCCACCCAGGCGCCCCAGGTTAGGATTTTTCTAAATGGCTATGCTTTCTTATTTACCTTTGGCTTAAAAAAAACTCAACTGAAAAAGCACTAGAATTTATTACATGAACCAATCTGGAGGGCACAGTATTTTTAAATGGTATAAAATTAAGATGCAGTGATTTATAAACAACTACTCTTCAACTCTTTGACGATGATAATGAACAATGTATACTCCAGATTTTACTACTGACCATTAGTAATGATTGTGTACAGAGGGTACAGATGCTCAGGTGTGATGTAGCTTTCCAGGGAATGTGTGCTATCCAAGGACCATCAAATCTATCAGACCAGTTCAGATGCAGCTAACTTTCATCTGAATCTAAAATCACATGCCCAGAGGCTCCTGGCTAGCTCAGTGGGTGGAGCATGAGACTCTTGATCTAGGCTTATGAGTTTGAGCCCCATCATGAGGACAGAGTTTACTTTAAAAAAATAAATTAAATTAAAACAATTTAGAAAACACATGCCCAGCTCTACCCAAACTAGCTAAAGTATAGGAGGGCAGGAATAATGGCTTTATTAAAATATATTGTTTTGGCTCTCTGATGGTTATCTAATTTCTGCCTAGAGATGAAAGAAATTCTTCTTGCAATTACTATTTTAATCATGTTATACAGAGCACAACCACTGAGCAAAATAAAATCACTTTTAAAATCCAAATCAGGGGCACCTGTGTATGCTGTGTATGCTGGCTAAGCATCCAACTCTTGATTTCTGCTCAGGTCATGATCTCATGATCTCACGATCCATGAGACTGAGCCCTCCTTTGGGCTCTGAGCTGTCAGCACAGAGCCTGCTTGGGATTCTCTCTCTCTGCCCCTCCCCAGCTTACACTCTCAAAAATTATAAACAAACCCCCCCAAAAAAAGAAAAAGAAAAAAAGTCCAAGTCAGAAAAATTTCTGAAAGCAGAGGATCAAAAAACAGACGAAGGAAAGTCTACTCACATTTTCAGTACTCTGGAGGATATTAATCGCTCCTCATTTTATATTTAAAAATACTTTCTGCTCTACGTTCAAGTCACCTGTTAGAGCCTAGAATTCCTTGTTAACAAATCAATTTCTCACTTTAGATTTCTGGCCAAATGATCCTGGATGTGCCAGACTGGACCCATGATGTAACACATACGTAAAGGAGAGTTCAGATGAAGTCATCCCAATGACAACTCATAAATGTCAAAGTGTACACACACCCATTAGAAGGGACAAAATCTATTTGGAACAACAGTCAGCCCACACACCTCCATGACAGCAGAATATCTTCTCATCCACGATGGCTGCTATCGGTAAACAGTTAAAGCAGTCTGTGAAAGTTTTCCATAGTTTAATGTTATATCTTCTTTTACCTGTGAAAATTTTAGGATGGTTAAAAAGAAACTGGTGTTCTATAGGTTCATTCTCTCAGGACAATTTCTCCCAAAGCAAGGTGCTAATTACCTTTTAAGTTAACAAAAACTAGGCTTTTATTAACTTCCCATTAGAGGAGGTTTAGCAAAACTAGATATACCTTAAAATTCCATAGAAGTTTGAGATCAGAATCCCAGATGCAATGATTAAAGATTAGCATTAACCCTCAATAATTATTTGGTAGCACCAACTGTTTGAAATCTAGTCTGTTTTGTCCAATCTCAACCCACAGGTAGCTCCTATGTCTAAAGGCAATTATGAACAGATTACACATGTGTCATTACCATCTTCCTTCTGAGGAAGCTTCTGAGAATTAACACCCATCCCATCTCCCACCATCATCAATATCCTACTGGTACCGGATATTCCTAGCCCTACATACTCTTAGTAGCAGGCACAAACAATGATAGGGAAATACAGATTTACCCCAGGCACCCAGGATAACCGTTCCTAACACTGCCACAAAGGCTCAGAACACTCCTCAGAGAAACGATGTTATAGGATGGTTATATTCCCTTCACCAGCCCTGTATTTCATTCATTCAGTCACAGCGTGATCTGGACAGAAGCATGCCTTTTAAGGCACTGTTCCCACAAGAAGATCATGTTCCAAGTTAAAAACCTACTCGTAAACCTTGGAAGCACAAATCTGTCAGAGCTGGGTTGAGAATGGCCCAATTGTTGGGTGCCTTTGTCTCCTATACCCTCCATACCAGAAAAGCCAAAGATGAAAGCACAATGTTCATTCCTAAAGCCAAGTTTGTCCTTTGTCTCTTTTTTCCTTTCTTATTCTAGGGACATCTACAGACTTAAAACTAAACATTCTTTGAAAATTAGAGACTGGCACAAGCAGCAGGTTCCTGAACCACACCTTCCACTCTGCAAATCAAGTTGGGTAAGGAATTTAGCAGAGTCTGGAAGTAAATTCAACAAATACTTGACTTCTCCTTCTTCAGGAGAAGTCCTTCCTAATAGTTTGTTTCTCTGTGACTGGGTATAACTCTCCCTACAGTTCACCCTGTTTGTATTTCTTTGGAGGTCACTAATTCCCTATCCCTCATCTTCCTTCACTGGAGGTTTCTGAAAGCTGAACAGAATTCCTCTCTACAAAAGGCTGAAAGGGAACCTGTCCACAATCACCACCTCCAATTTCTAGTAATGGTAATAGAAGAACAAGGCTGGGCTGGTCTTAACCTCCATTCATAAAAGTGATTTGGTTCTAGCTCCCACTGTCCACTGTATCTCGGATGGACCATCCAATGGCTCACTTGGATTCTTCCTTTGCCCATGTGCTGCATTTGCCAGTGCCGATGAACACTCTCCTTTCTTAAATCTGCTCTGTTCCCTGATTCTTTATTCATGCAACACACTCTAGCTTGTCTTGTAGATTCCTTTGCTGTCTTTGTTGGTTTCTTCAACAAAAATGAGGTTTCTTCCTCCTATTGCCTCTGAGCATCTTAACTAAGTCCTGCGGCCCCGCTTTCTGCTCTCTCTACAGTTTCCTCTCTAAAGCTACTTCACACCCCTAGGAACATCTGGCTCCAGAAAGGTTTAGCCTGAATAACTGCCAACATCTCTTCAAGCTTCCAAATCCAGGGATTCTGAGCCAGAACCCCTAATGCAGTTTCTTATTACTAAAGATCAGACCATTCTGGTATCAGAAAAGGATAACACACATTCTCATTTCATCCAACAGATACCTCAGCTTTTCCAGGACTGCAGTCATTAGTTGGGGTGGGGAGAAACCGTAGTATACAAGAGTGTTTATTATACTTGTGAAATAAGCCTATCACTTAAAGTAGTGGTTTTAAATTGTTCCCTGAAAGTCTACATTTGAATAAAAATTTTCATTATAATTTAAAATAAAATTTTAATGAAATTATTAAGTTTCTTAAAAAATCTGCAAACCACGAACTGAAAGCCACTTATGCCGAGGACATCTCTATGCCCACAAGTAGATTGGACAGCAAGTTATACCTGCCCAATGGGGGATTGGGGGGAGCTTGAGTACAGAGTTAATGGGTCTTAATGACCAAACAACAATCAACACTGATGCCAACCATCTAAAATAATTGTTAAAGTCCTCTGCATTAAACAGAAACTGAAAAGAACGTAGCTAGTATCCTCTCGATTGGATATATGTCACAACAAAGAGATCATCCGGATTTGAACTTCATCAATGAAAACATCAAAGTACTTGCTGAACAGTGTATAAAAGGAACCTTTTCAAAAAATTATTCTTTGAGAGTGAGCACGTACACATGAGGGGGGGGAAGGGCAGAGGGAGAGAGAATCTTAAGCAGGCTCCACGCCCAGTGCGGAGCCTGCGGTCACGACCTGAACTGAAATCAAGAGTGGGATGCTTAAGTGACTGAACCACTCAGGTGCCCCTAAAAAAAACCTTTTCTAAAAAGTAGCAACTGTAACAAATATCCAAAACACAATTTATAAAACTCGCTGTCTTTCATCTCACTACCTTAGGAGTAGTAACTGCTTTACTATTTAATAGTACTTCTCTGATAGATCCACTGTCAAAATCAAACATCTTTCTTGGGCACCTGGCTGCTCAGTCAGTAGAACATCGGACTCTTGATCTCAGGGTGGTGAGTTTAAGCCCTGTGCTGTGTGTAGAGATTAGTTAAAACAACAACAACAACAACAACAACAAACCTTTTTGCCACAGACTCAGTTGCCCTGGTCAGTTCAGAACCCACAAGACTTTTCTTTGGTGACCCCTCCCCACCTCACCTTACCAGCTGGGTCTCCGGGCCTTAGACCACCAGGCAAATGTACAATTGTGGGAGAGGGTACCAGAGTAGTAGAGCTAAGTCTAGAAATGTAATCTTTCTAGCAGTGCGCCTCTAACAAATGAGCTATGTGCAATTGAGCTAGAAAAACACATTGCAGGTTATGGCCACAGCCTAGGGGAGAGCCACAGTGACAATTCTTTACCGGTCTTGTTATCATCACTGGAAAACACCAGTAACCCAAATTCCTCAGCCACCTCTCTCCTCCCAGCCTGAAGCCTCTCCTAGCACAAATGATGAGCCCAAAAGGAGGATGGGGTCATGGGCTCAAAGCTTTTGTAAAAACATTTTATACTTAACACTGTAACAACAAAAAAGACCTCCACCAAAACTGGCAATTTTTAAGGCTTTAAAAATCTTGCTTTTGTCAATTACCAACTCAAAGTGCACCTTCAATTAAACAAGCCAAACGGATTATAATATGTGTAAAATATTATACGAATAAATTCTTGTTTTATAATTTTGCTTTCTCCTTTCAGCACGTTTTAGGACAGTAACTGCCATTAGTCCTGGGTACACATGTGCTAGAAGGAAAAAAAATACATCACAAAATTTAAAAAGCAATTATTTGGGGGTGCCTGGGTGGCTCGGTTGGTTAAGCGTCCAACTCTTGGCTTTGGCTCGGGTCATAATCTCAAGGTTTGTGAATCTGAGCCCCACATAGGGCTTTGCGCTGGTGGTACAGAGCCTGGTTGGGATTCTCTCTCTCCTTCTCTCTCTTCCCCTCCCCGCCTCTCAAAACTAAATAAACTTAAAAAAATAAAAATAAAAAGCAATTAGTTGCATATTTCAAGATACTATTTATATGAAATATCCAGAAAAGGCAAATCTATAGACAGCAGATTAGTGTTTTCCTAAGGCTATGGTGATAGTTGTACAACCTTATAAATTTACTGAAAATCACTTAGGACAGATTTTTATGGAATGAAATTATACCTCAATAAAGTTATTAAAAAAAAAGTATTTGGACAGGTTCTCAGAGTGTACTAAGAATTAAGTTATCTGTGAATTTTCACAAAAATGATCTTAAAGAAGCCATCACTGAGAACATGACTTCTTAATCTAATAATCACATCACAAAAGATCTAGGGCATTATTACACTGCAGCAGCAGTGTTATTTTACTACCCTAAGAAAGAAAAAAACTAAGATAAAAACAATTAATAGGAAACATGAGAGATTATAAAATATCATCTGAGCACTCATAAATCCTAACAGAACTATGTGATAGTTCAGTTTATGACCACATATCTCAGTTTAAGTAACTCTTCCTTAGAGGCAGAAAGTACTTACATTCATCATAAAATCCATAAATTCTATTGATGCTGGCACATTCATGGTTTCCTCTGAGAAGAAAAAAATTCTCGGGGTATTTGATTTTGTAAGCCAGTAGGAGGCAGATAGTTTCCAACGACTGCTTCCCCCTGTCCACATAGTCCCCAAGAAACAGGTAGTTGCTTTCTGGCGGGAAGCCACCGTACTCAAAAAGTCGAAGCAAATCATAGTATTGTCCATGGATATCACCTAGAAACAAGAAAGCTGTTACACGAGGACTTCACACTTCCTGTTGAATCCACTAACAAAGCTTTGGACAGAGTCTTTAAACATTCACTGCATAATGCGATTGCTCTCTAATAATCAGAATTAAATTTGATGGCTAACACTACTAATTTTCAATCTTGTATTATATTTCAGTTCGAGTGAGCTCACTAAAAATTTTAAGTATTATGTGTATGTCCAGAATCTCACACAAAACTCAAGTAATTAAGAATTAATTTTGTGGAGAGAATTATTAATGCCCAGGTAGGTCTTTTCGCCAAGTAACATGGCTTTCCTTTCAGGTTGGCTGATTGATATGAGACCTCCGGCAGCTCAGTCCACAGGTACCGTGTCAGCAGAACTGCCATACTGCTACTGGGCCCCGGGCTGTGTGAACAAGGGCACATGTACACTGTGCCCACCAGTCCATTCAGCTCTCAATTTCTCCCTGCTAGATAATGTCAAAGAGCATTCTACTTTAAAAACATCCAAATAAGCTTTATCAATGTAGTCAAGTATGCTAGAATATATAACATTACTCAGATGAACTTTAGTTTTTATACAGATTATCTGCATCTATCATGTAGAAACAGATGACAAATGCTATCAAGGAAGGTCTATTTTTAAGCATAAACAGTCTTACTTTAAGCTTAAATAGAATCCCTATATACTCATATAGTTCAGACCTTTTCTTAGCTCTCTATTTAGTTTCATTTCCTTTCTGTTTATATCCCTTTAGTGAAATAATTTTTAGAAAATCCGAAGCACATCTAAGTAAACTAAATCCATTAGAGGCATTTATTCTACAGCTAAAATTATTTCATTTTAAGCAGTTCCAGGTTATTCATAAATAGCAAAGGATTCTGCTGGCTAATACAAGCTCAACTCTCTATCTTTGAGTCAATCAATCGCGTAACCAAAAGCTGTTCAGGTGCCAAAACCTACCACATATTTTGAGTGGCGCTTCAAGTTCTAGTAGGATAGGCTGACTGAGAAAGATCTCTCGGGACTTTAAGCACAGTCCTCGGATTTCATTCTCCTGTAGCTGGACATTCTTACCAGGCTTGGACCCTCTTACTGTAGAGGAGAAAAACCCCAGTTAGACAAATGAAGTCAAAATCCAATGTAACATAAAAATTACAATTATCTGAAAAGACACAAGTTTTAATGAGGAGGAGGAGGAGGCAAACACACAGTTTAACTGGCTTCCTGCCTTGACTTTATTTTCTTAACACTTCTAAAGAACATGGTTTTAATGCCTAATTATAACTGTAAAATCTGAGACAGGATTTCATCGATTATTTAGGTGCATCTTCTATACCAAGTGAAGACTTCTTACGGCGCCCTGAACAAGGTGCCACACTGTGTGTGACTACCGTTAGCAAAGGCCTTCCTTGCTGAAATCAGACTCCCTGTGGCACAGCTTGAGTCTCCGTTTTGCATCCAAGCCACGTAACTGGCCTTGTTCACCTACAGCCCGCCCACCAGGCTATCTCTTTTTGCCCCCGTCTCATCTTCTCCTCTCCAGCCTTATAAATGAATTAGTATTTATACAGCAGGAGGTTTCCAAAATTGTCATGTTACTGAGTTGGTTCTAAGAATTCCTTGTTTGTTTTTATTTTTTAATAGTTTTTTATTTATTTTTGAAACAAAGAGAGACAGACCATGAGTGAGGGAGGGGCAGAGAGGGAGACACAGAATCCAAAACAGGCTCCAGGCTCTAAGCTGCCTGCACAGAACCTGATGCGGGGCTCGAACCCACGAACCGTGAGATCATGACCCGAGCCAAAGTCGGACACTTGACTGAGCCACCCAGGTGCCCCAAGAATTCCTTGTTTTAAAATGTGAGACTGGAAATGCGCAGAAGCCTGTCCTCATCAGTGTTTTTCAGAGGATGATATAGGTATCTCAAGAGTCTTATGAAAGAAAATATTTAAGTGTTGTTTGCATTTCACTGAAACACACTTTAGGCTCATTGTACATATTTTGCTGTGCAATCTTCGGGTCTGCATCTGTGAATACAATCATGACCTTACAGTACAAAGGATGCCCCATGAATGATGTAAGGAAGGTTTCCTAGTAATTTGAACAGATAAAAAAGCAAGAAAAGGGTGACAGAAATCATGGTACAGCACTAGGTGTTACCCACATGCAAGCACTCTTGGAGTTCTGCTCACTATTAAAGTAGAGCACTCCAGCTATGGAACAGTTAAGTCATCAGCAGGTGGGCAGGAAATGACATTTTCTGTTTTGATTTCACTTGTAACAGATTAGATAGTCACTAACTACAGATTAAAAAACACGGAATTACTGACTTTACCTTAACTTTACAGTTATCGAGTGGCCTGCTTACCAGCAGGGTCTGGTTAAACACAGGGATTGATTATCCTCAACTTGCAATCAGTCCTAATACAAAAGACTTAAGCAGGCATTCTACAAACTACAAGTGAAGCAAAAACACAGAACCAGACTAAATACAGAATGTCAGGTTACACCCTTCCACAATTAAACCCAATATAAAGTGATTTAGTTTTAGCAAAACCACAAAACCCATCAGATTAAATTACTGTTGCTAATTTAGGGGCGCCTGGGCGGCTCACTCAGTTAAATGTCCGACTTCCGATCAGATCATGATCTCACGGTTTAGGAGTTCAAGCCCTGTGTCGGGCTTTCCACTGTTGGCTGGAGCATGCTTTGGAGCATGCTTCGGAGCCTGTTTCCCTCACTCTCTGCCCCTCCCCTACTCTCTCTTAAAAATAAACATCTAAAAATAAATACATAAATAAATAAATTGTTGCTATAGTTTAAATTTTAACAATTTTGGAGGCTTTATATTCAAATTATAAAATTGCTCAGTCTAATAGCTTAATAAAAGTAGTAGGTTTAACTGCTTTGTTCTGTAAATATCTAATGTTACAGAGTGATAAAAATTACAAGTAAAAAACCGGATGTCTGTTGAGAACTTTTTTCCATTAAAAATGTCTGTGTCAATGGGATGCCTGGGTGGCTCAGTCAATTGAGTGTCTGACTTTGGCTCAAGGTCATGATCTCACAGTTCATGGGTCTCTTGAGCCCCGCGTCTCTCTCTCTCTCTCTCTCTCTCTCTCTGTCTCTCTCTCTCCCCCCCTCACACATGCTCTACCAAAAATAAATTATTTAAAAAAAACCCACCCAACTATGTCCAAGTTTGAGAAATACTGTCCTAGGCAAACCAATTCTTCAGCCTGAATAGGCACTGAAACCCTGAGCTCTCTGAAGCAACAAATTTTGAGCAGGATTGGAGCACTGTGTGTAGGGGGTTATTATTTTTTTCCAATGAAAGACAGTAAATAAGAAGACATGATGGCAAGGCCAAACTCTTAAAGGACACAATGAAGAGAAAAAGCTGAGAGAGAGCAGTGGACTGGGAGACAGCCCCAAGTTTCTGTATTGGTTCTATAGCCTTGAGCAAATCACTACTTTGAACCTCAAAATATGTAACTGAAGTAAACAACAGTCAGCCTCCACTTCCGATAAAAATATTATGAAATGAGAAGCAACAAAGAGGACAGCTTGGAAACGATAACCTTTGAGGGAAGGTATTAAACACACATATAATACTACAGCATCTGAGCAACAAACAATGGTTTTCCCAGAACCACAGTAATTTTCTCTCTAGACACACACAGTAAAGAATTCAAGAAACACTCCTGATGGAAAGAAGGTGGGATTCCTGCTTCACTGCCCAGAAAACCCCAATCATTAGCAATTCTACCACAAGTCAGCCAGAAGCTTGGGCAGACTGCCCAGCAGGAAACTTTATTTTTGGCTAGGAGGAGACTCCTAGAAGCTTCTGGTTTTCAACCTCAATTTTTTTTTCAGCAGAGCCCTACACTTGTGAATAAATGGCCCACTTTAAGAGTATGCAATAATACCTTACACCTATATGGAACAAAGGCTATACTTTTTATAGGAGAATGCTATCATAGTAAATCAATTCCATCAGATTAAATCAATCTAATGGAAATTTTACTGGTTTTCGAGGCTTCCTACTACAACCTTTAGACATAGCTTATGACAAGTTTTCTTGTTCTGTTTTCCTGTTTGTCCTGTGAGTGGGGTGTACAGATAAGTAAAAAGCAATATTGTTGATAATTTAAAGATTATTCTTAATGTGAATAAGGATTAAATGCAGTTTTTCCAGAACAAATCAAGATTTTATATCTGAAGAACAGTGCTCATTAAAAATAGCACGGTCTCAAGGCTTCTTGACTTTCCTACAATTAGCTCAAGGAATAAAATTATGAAAAAAGAAACTTTGCCAAAACCATCATCTACCAATTGACAAATACCTGTTCATCCTTCAAGGCTGCTTAGGTATCACTTGCCCTGGAGAGCTCTTCTGTCTAACTCCTCTCCCTTCATAAGCCTGCCTTATTACTTCCCGAAATGCTCTCACAACACCTGGACACCATTCAGCACACATCACACTTGGTACTTTGTACTGTAACTGCCGTTTTGCTTCAGCTATTCATCTGGACCCCCCAGTAGTCTGTGAACCCCAAGACCACACCACTTGCTCTGCAGTGTACATCCCCACGGCCAGTATGTGGCAGGTGCTCAAAATGTGTTGCATGAATGAAATCTGGATAAATCTCTAAGTACTGATGACCTGCAGTATTAGAATTAAACATGCATACCAGACTAGGTACTTTTGATTAGTTAAAAAACAAACATGTGTCTGTGCTTTAAATTAAAAAGCAATAGTGTCATTTTCCTATCAGCCTTTAATAGAGTATTTTTCTAGTTGTGAAAATCTAGGATTACTCTTAAATTTCAATTTGAAAGTGATTTGTCTAACAATTAGAAGATAAAGATTTCAAAATGGGTTTTAGCAGTCCAAATAAACACTAGGTATTTCTTTAAAATGGCCATATAGAGGGGGAGGTGCCTGGGTGGCGTGGTGGGCGGGGCGTTGACTTCAGCTCAGGTCATGATCTCACAGTTGGGGTCCCATGTTGAGCTTGCTGCCGTCAGCGCAGAGCCCGCTTTGGAATTCTCTCTCTGTCCCTCACTCCTACTTGTGCTCTCACTCTCAAAAATAAATAAAATATTATAAAAAAAAAAAAAAAGATGTTCACTATTTTCAATGTCCATCAAAAAGAATTACTTCCTGGTTGTAGGTAACATTTACCAAGCACTTACCATGTTGGGCAATGCAATAAAGGGCTTTACACTGTCAATTAATCCTCACAACAACCCTATGAAGTTAGGCTGTGTCACCTGTTATAGCCTGGGAGAGGTTCAGTGACTTGGTCCAAGGTCACAGAGCTTATGGGTACACTAGGCCCCAAAGAACCATACTACTTCCCTTCCAACTAAGGATTTGTTCTTCTTTAACTTCCAAACCAAAGGAGTTTTTATAGGACAAACTACCAAAACCCTAATATATGGTCGCTGCTCCCTAAGACAGTTCCACAACAGGGGATATAAAATCATAAGGCATCCTTACAAACGAGAAGTATTAAATCAGAACTCTATGAGGCAATCTGTTAAGACTGTCAATACTTATTAACTGTTTCAAACATTCAAGAGAACAGTTGCAGAGTCTATAGCATGTGCCAGACCCTCTGGCGGAAGCTGGGACACCCAGACAACAGGATGGACAACAACTCTCTCTCTTCCCTTGTGAGGACATGAAAAGTAAGACTAACTAGGCAACTGCATCTTGTTATAAATGCTACAGTGAGAATTGTCCCTCCATGAAGATTATAAAACTAAAAGTTTACCTTGATAGTATTTTCAATATCATTAAAAAGACAAAGCCTTTTTAAATAAAAATATCTCTATTTTATCACTAGTAGCTACAAAGAGAATTACAAACAGTGCAGCTCTACTCCATAAACATCAGTCAACACTTAACTTGAGGTTTAAAGACCTCACTGTACTCTATGTATAATGGGAGAAAGGTGCACAAAGAGAGACCCTAGGTGGGAAATTCAAGAGTGGCCACCCCATGTCACCTTCCTAAGTAGCAGTGAGGCTAAGTTCAAATAGTAAATATCAAATTATTTCAACAATTGCCAAAGGAATCCAAA